TAAAAGACAATAACGATGATGATGGTTTTGTTACATTTATGTATTGATTATGGGGGGGGGATGCGCGTGTGCTAAGGTGTGCATGTGGAAGCCAGAGGACTGTTTGCAGGAATCAGTTCCCCTTCTACCAAGCCCCAAGGATTGAACTCAAGTCATCGGACTTGGCAGCAAGTGCCTTTACCTGCTGAGCCGTCAGGCCAAACTGGCCCATTTTTCAATATTGTACTGACTGCAAACAAACAGTAGACTATTTGTGAATCACTCGGGATGGCCAGCGCCTTCTGGATACTGGACTGCTCTCAGTACAACCCATTTGTAGGCAGATAACAGGGATGAAAGGAGCAGGTGATGTTGCTGCACTGGTAGAGTGCCATTCTAGCTTGCACAAAGCAGTCTCGGCGTCCCAAACCCAGCACTTGGGAGGTGGAGGCAGGTGGATCCGAAGTAGTCCAACCTGAGACCCTTTCAGAAGAATGAGGACTATGACTTGGGCACCAGAATGGTGAGGTGTGGGGCGCTGAAGAGTCAGAAGGGGAAGGAGCGTCTTGGCCATTCCCAGCATCCGTATAGGAACTGATGATTTGGAAAGGCAGAAGACCACCTCTCCCTCCTCCAGCACAGCTATAAACTTGGGACACACTGAGGCAGGTTTGGTGACAAGCTCCGGGCATGGATGTGCTTGGAAATAGCATGTGTTTCTTTGTTGCTGTTGTTTTGTTTTGTTTTGCTTTCTGAGACAAGTTTTCTCTGTGTATCCTCGGCTGCCCTGGAACTTGCTTTGTAGACCAGGCTGGCCCCAAATTCACAGATATCTGCCTGCCTCTGCCTCCCGAGTGCTGTGATTAAAGGCCCATGCCATCACTGTCTGCCTTTGTTTTGTTTTTATTTATTTTTTTTATTTTTTAGATTTATTTATTTCATGCATGAGTTATAACTGCTTGTACACCTTAAAGCCAGAAGGTGGCATCAGATCCCACTAGAGATGGTTGTGAGCCACCATGTGGTTGCTGGGAATGGAACTCATGGCCTCTGAAAGATCAGCCAGTGCTCTTAACTCTGAGCCATCTCTCCAGCCCCTCGTTTTGTTTTTTAAATAGGGGATTGCTTTATCGCCCAGGCTTGCCTGGAACTCACAAGGATCCTCCTGCCTCAGCTTCCCCAGTGCTGGCTGGCATTACGAGTCTATGCTACCACTCAAGAACTGGATCAATCTTTTCCATCACTGCTTCTGCTGAATTGCAAGGATTGTGGTGGAGGTGAGGTGAGTGGAAGTTTCTGTCTCTGTGACAACCCTGGTACCTTTCCACGTGCTCATTGCCCTTGGCCTCCTTCTCTCAGGGCCTGTCTTGTCTTCAGGGGGTAGTGTCTGTCTCCAGAGGGTCAGGCCTTGTTTCTCCAACATGGACTTTTTGGTTCTGTTTTTGACACAGGTCCTCACTTAGCCTGGGCTATCCTGGATACTCCTGCCTCTGCCTCCCAAATACTGATACTATAGACTTGGGATAGCATGTACCACCAAATTTATATTACTCAGAAAGAGTAAGTCTTGCTTTTGGACCTCCACTGCTGAGTGGAGAATACTGTGTATGTATGCATGCATGTCTGTACATATGTATTGTATATATTATATAAAATATAAAACTTATTTATTTAATGCATATAAGTGTTTTGCCTGCATAGATGTGTGTGCACCACATGTGTGCCTGTTTCCCATGGAGACAAGAAGAGGGTGTCAGATCCCCTGGAACTGAAGTTATAGATGGTTGCTAGCTGCCATGTGGGTGCTGGGACTTGAACTCTGGTCCTCTGCAAGAGCAGCCAGTGCTCTTAACCACTAAGCCAGATATCTCTCCAGCCCCTAGAAAATACCTCTTGACTTTCACATTTTTACTCATTCATTGGGTAGCAGGCATCTACCATGGTGCACCCATGGAGATCAGAGGGCAACTTGTGAGAGTCCTTGCTTTCTTTTCACAGTGTGGGCCCCAGTGAACTCAGGTGGTCAGGCCGGGCAGCAGGTGCCTTTACCTGCTGAACCATCTCTCTGGCCCCAACATTGAGAATACCTCTAAGGCTGAGCATCTCTGAGGAATGACTTTGCTCCCACGGGATGGGACTTTTTCAAATTGTCAATTGTCCCCCCAACTCTCTCTCCCAACTCTTCTTTGTGATGAAGACACAGAGATAAAAAGCCCATAATGTGAATGAATGATTGAGCAAATTTGTTTTCAAAGGACAAGCCAGATGGTGGAACGTGTGCCTTTCGCAGGGCCCTGGTTCTGTTTCAGCACTGTAAAACAGAAACAAAACAAACAAACAGCCAGGACTGAGGAAAGGGTTCATCAGGTAAGGTACCTGCTTGCAAGCATGAGAACTTGAGTTCGCATCTCCGGCACCTATAGAAGCAGGCTAGTGCAGCAAGATTATGTAGGGAGCGAAGACAGGCAGATATCAATGGTTCATTAGCCAAAGACATGCTTCAGATGCAGAGAGGGACTGTCTCGATTAAGAAGGTGCAGTGCTGGTGAGATGGCTCAGGGTAAAAGGGCTAGCTGCTAGCCCGATGACTCGTGCTTGACCCTTGGGACCCACATGGTAGGAGAGAAAGAACTTCTGAAAGTTGCCCATGCCATGGCACATGCACACACATGCACACACACACATATGCACACACAAGAGCACAAACATGCACATACAAGCACACACACACAAGAGCACAAACATGCACATACAAGCACGCACACACATATGCACACACACAAGAGCACAAACATGTACATACAAGCACATGCACACACACAAGAGCACAAACATGCACATACAAGCACGTGCACACACACAAGAGCACAAACATGCACATACAAGCATGCACACACATATGCACACACACAAGAGCACAAACATGCACATACAAGCACGCGCACACAAGCACACAGACACTAATAAAAACTGAAGTAAAATGAAGAGTGGTTGAGGAAGACACCTACGGTGACCTCTGGTCTCCACAGGCAGCCTTACACACAGGCCCACACATCCACAGTAACAAGTACACTCAGCACACCCACCTTGGTGAATAAATGAATGAATGGCCCCAGATGAAGACATGGGACACTGTTTGCTATCGGCAACCGTGGAGTCTCCTCCTACATTCAACCTTTCTAATCTGGGTTTTGCAGAATTGGTCTCCACCAGGTGTGTGGCATATGCCTGTCATCTCGGCATGTCGGGGGTGGTGGTAGAATGGAGTCAGGATTATCCACTGTATAGCCCCAGTTTGAGGCTAGCATGGGGTACATGATACCCTGTCACACAGAATCCGCTTTAATTTTACATGTGCACCAGAGTTCTGGTGCCCTGAACTGGAATTACAGGAGACTGTGAGCTGCTTGATGTGGGTGCTGGGAACTGAACTTGGGTCCTTATGTACTTTTAACCTTTGAACCATCTCTCCAGCACCACACACACACACACACACACACACACACACACACACAATTTTTTTAAATGTTTGGGAGCCTGTGAGAGGGTGTGGTGGTTAAAAAGATGGCCCCATAGGGAGTGGCGCTATGAAGAGGTATGGCCTGTTGGAGGAAGTGTGTCACTCTGGAGAAAGGCAGGCTCTGAGGTCTCATATATGCTCAAACCACACCCAATGAGACAGACCACTTCCGGTTGCCTGTGGGTCAAGGTGTGGGCCTCTCAGTCCCTTCTCCAGCACCATGTCTGCCTGCTTGCTGTCATGTCACACCACGGTGACAGTGGACTAAACCTCTGAAAATGTAAACCACCCCAATTAACTGTTTTCCTTATAAGAGTTGCTGTGGTCAAGCTGGGCGGTGGTGGCGCATGCCTTTAATCTCAGCACTCGGGAGGCAGAGGCAGACAGATCTCTATGAGTTCGAGGCCAGCCTGGTCTACAGAGCAAATTACAGGACAGGCTCCAAAGCTACAGCAAGAAATCCTTTCTCGGGGCTGGAGAGATGGCTCAGAGGTTAATAAGCACTGGCTGCTCTTCCAGAGGTCCTGAGTTCAATTCCCAGCAACCACATGGTGGCTCACAACCATCTGTACTGAAATCTGGTATCCTCCTCTGGCGTGCGGGCATACATCAAGGCAGAATGTTGTATACATAATAAATAAATCTTTAAAAAAAAGAAATCCTTTCTCGAAAAACTAGTAAATAAGTTAATTAATTAATTTAATTAAAAGAAAGAAAAAGAAAAAAGAGTTAAAGAGTTGCTGTAGTCATGATATCACAACAATAGAAATGCTTACTAGGACAGGCGACATGTGCCAACGTGCCCAGCCATTGTAGGCTTTATAATCTAGTGTGGGGCAATAGGAGGGAGTCAAGAAGAAACGAGTACTTTAGAGCTAGGTGGCTCAAGCTGGGCATTTGGCTGTGACCGTGGACAGTGCAAAGATGCAAGACAAGACTTTAAGTGCAGACGATGTGTGCCATTTTCCTGCCCTCTGGCTGTGGGATGGTGAAGGAATGGAGCGAGGCGAGTGGAAGACAGTGCTGGTTCTGTGGCTTATCCAGGCCCTGTGTGTTTAATCCCAGCATCTGGATGGCCGAGGCAGGTGTATTCTTATGAATTCAAAACCAGTCTGGTCTACAAGGTGAGTTCCAGGCCAACCAAGGCTACATAGTGAGACCCTGTCTCAAAAATAAATGTAAGTAAACAGATAAAGTCTAGGATGGCTGTGATGGTCTGTTTCATTCACTGTAGTGTTCTCGCAGGCTTTATATTGTCTAGCACAGAAGGAGCACTTGTGCAGGGATGCCATTGAGAATGTGAGAGGCACTCCTCCCTCCCTCCCTTCTTGAACTCATTCTTCTCCTGTTCCTATCTAGGTACCCCCAGCAAGTCCCCCTTCAATGACCAAGCTAATGCTGCCTCTGCAGAGAAGTCCTTGGGGCCATCCTATCTAAGATGGTGAGCTCTTGCTAGTCACTGTGTGTGTGAGAGAGAGAGAGAGAGATAGACAGAGAGAGAAAGAGAGAGAGAGAGAGAGAGAGAGAGAGAGAGAGAGAGAGAGAGAGAGAGAGAGAGAGAGAGAAGAGAGCGCACTGGGACTGAATTTAGGATGTTGCACATGATACTAGACAAGTGCTCTACCATTGAGCCACACCCCAGCCCCTCACGGGGGATTCTAGGCATTCTACCTTTGAACTTCATTCCAAGCTCTTTTCAATCTTTTCTCCCAAATCGTTAATGTGTGTGTGTGCACAGAGTGTACATTTATGTATGGGAGTATCACGTGTGTTTGTGAAAGCCAGAGGACAACCTCGGGTGTGATCCGTGCCAATGAGTCCACGACCTTTCAGATCGGATCTCTTGTGGGGCTGCACCCCATGGATAAAGCTAGACTGACTGAGCAGTAACCCCAGGGATCCTAGTTCTGTTTATCTAGCTTCATCATGCCTGGAAGTTTTGTGTGAGTTCTGGAGATTAAATTCAGGCCCTCATGATGCTGAGTTAAGTATTTTATCAACTGACCTATCTCCCCAGCACAATCTTTTACTGCGGAGGCGGGTTCTAAGTCATCCTGGCTGGCACTGGACTTTAACTTCCTAAGTAACAGGCCTGCGCCTGAAGCAGCTGCCACCACGTTCTCAGCGTTCTTCCTTCCTGCTGCAAAGGTGTTCACTACCACATGAAATCACCATTTTCTCTTCCCACACTGTAGAATATAGTAAGCTCAAGAAGGGCCAGTATTTTCTGCTTTGTTCAATGTATGATTTAGAGTTTAGACCGCTTAGTATGGCCATGCAGAAAACAGAGTCTAAGGCCTGGAACCTCTTCAAGATATGTCTTGGTTTCCAAGGGATGTGTCCTGTGGGGGTGTTTCTTGATTTCCAGATGGGCTGCTTAGGTGAGTTGTAAACCGTTTCTCATCTGAAGGGCTTAAAAAGGATTGGAGTGCCCAAATCCTCTTGCGAGGGTTTGAGGATCTGGGCACTTGCAGGAGGAAAGTGTCGTTCCCCCACTCTGCCCGTCTTTAACTGCCTATGCTCAGGGGAGGGGTGGGAGCTTGGGAGTCATTACACCCTCCCCCAACCCTACCAACCATTAACTGCTCAAAAACCCACAGGAAGGGGCAGTGACCCTTGACTCTGCTCCTCAAAGACCGGTATCTAGTGAACCTGTTCTCTTCTAAAGGTTAAAAGAAAGGAGGTGCACACGTATGTGGGTTTGTGCATGTGAGTGCAATGCTCAAGGAGGCCACAAGAGGACACTGGAGTCTCTGGAGCTCAGTTACAAGTGGTTAGGAGCGGCGATGTGGGCGCTAAGAACTGAACTCTGGTCCCAACAGCATGCATTTTAACTGTTGCACCATCTCCTTAGGTCCTAGGGCACATAGTCTAAGTCCAAGAGGGAGAGAGCCCTACCTCCCTGAGTCTCAGAGTCAGCAAACAAGACAGCAGTGATGGACAAAATGAGGTTTATTGGAGTCCCAGAGACACTGGGGAGACCAGGGGGTGAGGTTGAGGCTCACGGGAGAGAAACCCCTAGCCAAGTCCCCCTTTCTTCTTGGGGTTAGAACACAGAGACAAGGTGGTAGTGATGGAAAGACTGACAGGTACTACAGCTGAGGGGGAGGGAAACCCCAATGTCTACCACCTCCACCAGGTCACAGGATTGGGACGACCTTGGACAGAGGACTGTGCTCTAGGAAATAGGAAATGTCTGCCCTATTACTCTAAGGAGAGTGGAGTCAGGCCACAGCCTGCACCAGCCCATTGCAAGTGCACAGGAGTATGTGTATCTGGGTCAATCCAACCTACAGGGCAGGGAGACTTTGGGCCAGTCTAAGCTAGTGTTCAGGATGGGGGACAATGAGTAGGGTCAGACCATTCTGCAGGAAGGGAGACCTAATCTGAGGAGGTTAACTGAAGGTGGGGGCATCTACCCTGGTCCTCTTTCAGCATAGGAAGCAAAATGGGGAAAGGCAGATTCTGGCTATATTCATTTTCTGGGGCTACCAGTGAGTGGCTGGTGGGTGTCATCTGGAGGGGAGGGATCCTGAAGATTCCAAGATGTTGCCCCATCCCCCAGATAAAGGTCGTTGGGAATGATGGCTCTCAGGATGGGTACCGTGAGGGTACCCACATGTGAACTGCTGAGAGGTGTTAGTGGAGACCCGTTTTTCATTCTCAGGTCTCAGTGGCGGAGGCCAGTTGATCTGAGCATGCCCACATTCCAGGGGTCTCAAAGTCAAGAGTCTCTCTGTAAATATCAGTCCCTAACAATTATGTCCTTGGACCCCTTTGCTGAAGGATGCTTCACTGTGGTCCTGTGTGGGTTCTGGGTGGCACCATTTTTCCAGGCAAGGGCCTCATCTTATTATGATCTGGCTCTGGACTTGTAGAGGTCGGGGTGGCCTGGCTATTCAGTCCATGCCCCTGTGCAGCTTCAGGTGCCTAGAGAGATTGCTGAGTGTGATGAAGCCCTTGCCACAGATGTGGCAGGGAAAGGGCCGCTCTGTGCCATGCAGCAGTCGGTGGCGCTTGAGGTAGCACTCGTGGCGGAAGAACTTGCCACACTCTAGGCACGGGAACGGCTTCTCCCCTGTGTGGACCAGAACATGCCGTTCCAGGTCGCGAGGCGAACGGAACAACTTCTCGCATTCTGAACAGCCAAAGATTTTCTTGCCACGGCTGGAGGAGCCAGGCCCCGGCCCTCCAGTCGCCTGCTCGCCCTCGCCATCAGGGGCCACCTCCCCACTGCCCTCACCGTGGCTGGCACGCCGATGCTCCTCCAGAGCAGCCAGCGCTGCATACAATGCCCCGCAGTGGCCGCAGCCATAGGTGGCTGGGCCTGAGTGGGCTTCTAGGTGACTGGCCAAGGCTGGGGCAGACGCAAAGAAGGTCCCGCAGTCGCACTGGTACAGTGTGTCTTCCGAGGACGCCTCGGCTGCTGCAGCCGGAGCCCGAGCATTCTCTGCACCCTCACCCTCAGGGAGCAGTGCCTCCAGCTTGGGGATGCCTGCCCCGGTGGGGCTTAGAAGTAGCCCGGCGTCCCAGGTCGGCGGGGCATCCCCTACCTCCACTGCATCGCCATCTCCTGCCACCTCTGGACCCCCACCCGAGGACCAGACCTGCGTTGGGGGTGCATTGCTCCCCTGCAGGTCATGAGTAAGCTTATGGCGTTCCAGCAGCGCGGGCGCGTTGAAGTCGCGCTCGCAGCGTGGGCACTTGAATGGCTTCACATCAGTGTGCGCGGCCCAGTGGGCAGCTAGCTCCCGGCCGTGGTCAAAGCGACGGGCACAGGCGCCACACGCAAACGGGGGCAGCGAGGCAGCTGCGGCAGCTGCGGCCTCTGCTAGTCCCCAGCTGGTTGCTCCTGCTCCCTCCAAGCCCTCTCCTCCGCCAGCCCCTCCACCTCCACAGACCGTACAGGGACCCACGTTGCAACACACTGAGCAGGGGGAGTTCAGGGGAGGCAGGCCTGGGCTCGGCTGCAGGGGAGACGGAAGGACGCCCCGGTGCTGCCGCTTGAGGTGGCGGCCCAGGCTGGAGCGAGAGGAGAAGCGGAGCTCGCAGACCAAACAGCAGTAGGGCTTCTCGCCAGTGTGGACGACCTGGGAGCAAGAGCAAAGAGGCAGGGTTGAGGATCGGGGTCCTGCAACAGATTCCCAGGAGACGGGACCCAAGTTCTCGGTCTCTGCCCATGGGACATGATCTAGCTTTCACCGCGCTCCTCTGTTAGGTTGCTAGACAGGCATACGCAGGGGTGGAGGCCACTGAGAAGAGACCCCCACGTCTTTGTGATGGGAAGCTTCACAAGGACCCTTCATATAAAGTTCAGATATCATTATGAAGAAGTAGTAGGAGCTGGGCAATGGTGGTACACGCCTTTAATCCCAGCACTTGGGAGGCAGGGGCAGGTGGATCTCTGTGGTCTAGAGAGCAAGTTCCAGGACAGCTATGGCTGTTACACAGAGAAACCCTGTCTTGAAAAACAACAACAACAACAAAAATACAAAACAAAGATATATAAGTTACGGAAATAATGGAGTTGGGCACCTTGGCACAAGCCTTTAATTCCAGCACTCAGGAGGCCGGAAACTGAGGCAGGCCAACCCTGTGAGAAGGAGGCCAGTCAGGTCTACACAGGGAAACCCTGTCACAGAGCAATCAACTGAACATCAACAATTAATGAAATAACATTTTAAGGAAAGAACAGGAGCTAGAGAGATGGGTTAGCAGTTAAAAGCACTTGTTGCTCGTGCAGGGGCTCTGGGTTCATTTCCCAGCACCCACACGGCAGCTCACACCTGCCTGTAGCTCCAGGTCTAGGGGATCCATCGCTCTCTTATCTGCTGGAGCACCAGGAGCAAATGCAGTGCAGACACACATGCCAGCTAAACACACATACAGATAGTAAATAAATAAAACTTACAAAAGAAGAGGATCTAAATCTACTTTGAGCCCTGGGTGTAGATGCTACATTCTAAACTGCCTCAAACACTGCGTACTACTGACTTTTCCAGAAGGTTAAAGCAATTGGCCCTGTCAGTTATCTGGTCAGGAAACAGCTAAGGAGGTGGGAGGAATAATTATCTCCTTAATGAGGTCATGTACCCTCCCCCGTCTTCCGTTTTCCTAGATGGGTTTTCTCTGTGTAGCTTTGGAACCTGACCTGGAACTCGCTCCAGGCTGGCCTTGAACTCATAGAGATCTGCCTGCCTCTGCCTGTGCTGGGATTAAAGGTGTGCGCCACCACCCCTGGCTCTTTTCTGAGTTCTTAACTCAAAAAGTCTAACCTTGGACTGAGCTCCCAATGTCCCAAGGAGGAGCAGAAGGAGGGAAAATATGAGCAAAGAAGTCAGGACCACGAGGGGTGCACCCACCCAAGGAGACAGTGGGGCTGATCTATTGTGAGCTCACCAAGGCCAGCTGGACTACGACTGAAAAACCATGGGATAAAACCGGACTCTCTGAATATGGCGGACAATGAGGGCTGCTGAGAAGCCAAGGACAATGCCACTGGGTTTTGATCCTACTTCATGTTCTGGCTTTGTGGGAGCCTAGCCAGTTTGGATGT